TATATATATATATATATATAAAATGAGGCATAATCATAATTTAATTGAAACTCGGTATTAAAAATGGGAAAATTGTATTAAAAGGTAAACTATTAATTCAAATTAAATGATATAGTCATAGTTTCTTTTATTTGTAATTTGCAGCAAACATTTCATGTTTTTTGTTATCCCATTTGTATACCGAAATATACAAATAGACTCATTCAGTATACATATGTGTTGTGTAAAAATTAATTGCAGGACCCATTTGTATACCGAAATATACAAATAGACCCAAATACAGATTTTTTATGTATATCATGTATACCGAAATATACAGATTAATGTTTGCTATGGAGCGCAATTATACAAAATATAGTTATAGCATACAAATATGATTTTTATGTTTGCTAAACCTAAAATTTACTCAAAAATGCCTCTTAACTTGATTAATTGAATTTAAATACACTCCTAATCTTGTAATACAAGTGAAATACATATCTAAATTCTCGCTAAATTTTGGGGTGTTTATAACACTGTTTTCGATTTTTTATTAAGAGTTTCATGCTCCAACAAGAGTTTGAGACTGCTTACTATATCACGTGCCAAAATAATATAGTCTAATATGAATAAAATATTGATAGTATATTAAATTTCTAGTTCTTCCTTCATTGTATGGCATGCTCATGGTTTCAAAATTCATTTTTCTGGTTTACTTCTTCTAAAGCTCAAATTCAAATATTGCAAATCAAATAAAATTAATAGTAGATATCTGGATAAGTTGCACAAGTGGTCTAGTGGTAGAATAGTACCCTGCCACGGTACAGACCCGGGTTCGATTCCCGTCTGGTGTATTGAAGAGCAATGATGTTACATTTGCACTAAATTGTGAACGATGGGTCGTCACATTCATCTAATTAATGATGACAAATAGTGCATTTGAGCTCATTTTTTGTTAAATCGGTTTATATACTACTTCATATTTTGAACTCTCTTACTAAAATTTTACATATTGTAAAATTAATTAGTTGAATATTGTCAACAATCAATATATAATCGTCTTTTTTTGTTAAATCGGTTTATGTTCACTACTTCTTCATATTTTGAACTCTCTTGGTAAAATTTTATATATCGTAAAATTAATTAGTTGAATATTGCATTATCCCGTCAACAATCAATATATAATCGTCTATGCTGTATCTAGAATTGACCATGTTAGAAGTCTTAAGGTAGAGAGGTTGATTAATGTGCTTCATGTCTCCCAAGAGCATATTGTTCTGAGTGAGGGTAATGTTTATGTTTACTTCTTCATATTTTGAACTATCTTAGTGAAATTTTGTATATCGTTGAATATTGCATTGTCTCATCAACAATTAATATATTTGTTCTTCTTATTTTAAAGTCTCCTAGTGAAAATTTTGTATATTGTTGAATTAATTAGTTGAATAATGCATTGTCCCATCAACAATCAATATATTTGTTGTGATATCGTTGTTCCATTTCAACAACAATAACATATTCTATATAATTTTACAAATAAATCTAAATCTAAGAGATTGATTAGATACACGAAGATCATATAATCTCTTACTATTGTGAAATTAAAACATTAATTTTAAAAAACCTTCAACAACCTCGCTTCCATAAAAAACAAAAATTTACAAGAAGCTTCTAATCAGAATAGAATAAATGCAAACTTTATTCCTAATTGTAATTATTCCGTTTCATTAAAAGTTAAAAAAAATAAAAATTAAGAGCGTAGAAATCAATTATTAAGGGGACCAACAAAGTCGAGCCGCAAAACTTTTGCAAAGGGTGGAAACATGCACATTGCACAAGGAAAATAATTGAGCGCAAATAAATTTATTCTTTCTGTATATCTCCGAATTATCGTAAATAGTATGTAGATACCTTCCGTCATATTTTTGGGATATTGATGCCCCTATCGTCCAAAAACTAGAGCATATATACTCTTTATACTAACGGACATATATGTGTCATAATCTTATCCACCGACCCGACATTTAAGTATCGGATCGACGAATAAGATTGCGCCACGTGTCCCTATTTAGTCTTCTGTTAGAGAGTGGGGGCATATATACTCTAGTTTTTGGACGACAGGGGCACCAATGTCCCAAAAGTATGACGGAGGGTATCTGCATACCATTTACGATAGTTTGGGGTATATTTGTCCTTTTTCCCTAATTAATTTGTTTTGTTTTAACTTTTTGATTTATTTTATAAAAATAAAAATAAAAAATCTCTCTTTTTAGCAACTTTTTAATTTGAAAACTTTTCACATGACATGTTTAAATTTAAAAATTAAAATCACAAAAAAAAAATTTAAAAAAAAACTAAACTACGTGTCAAGTTAAAACAGGACAAGCAAACTAAATAACTTATTTTGTTGATAATAAAGGAAGAGAGCTAATAATTTGATACTTTTTTTTCTTTTTCTTTTTTGCTTCTTCTGCTTCTGCATTCAGATACATTGAAATCTTAGCTCATTTGGCTTTTTCTTCTACTTTTTTCAACTCATTTCTTCATGTAGCATGACTATATTGATTAGTATTTTCCATACTGCTCTTTGAGAGCTGAACTATTAAATTTCACTACTGTAATTGTTCTTCTTGGGTAATCAACTTAAGTATTGCTACTGTTTTGTTAATTGTGTTGAAGTTTGTTCCATGCAACTGTCCATCTTTCTGCCCAAATTAATGAACTTGTAAAAGAAAATTATAAAGTGAACGCTAATTAAATAACGATCTTAAAAATATGTATTTGTATACTTGGACATTAAAATAAATTGATCATTAATTCACTCAAATCTGAATGAATTGAACGGATGGTAGTGTTAGTTGACTTTGAGCTCCCAAATTGCCCTACCATCCACTAACATGAAAGTACTATTCCCTCCATGTTAATTTATATACACCTTTTCTTTTCCTTTTTTGGTTGCAAAATGACAATTATTTAATGACACTTATTATGGAAAAAATCAATAAATAATAAGCAATACAAAGACTTTAATAAGACATTTTGATAAACGTAATAAAAAAAAATTAATTTATTAAACTTAATTAAACGATATACTTTAATAAGACATTTTGATAAATATAACAAAGTTTTTAAATTGAACTAAACGATATCGTATAAATTGAGACAGAAATAATACAAAATGCAAAACAACATCAAAATTCACAACAATTTTTTATATATTCTTTTATCATTTTGGAAAATATTTAAAGTAGCTATGGCTTTTCATTGTGTAACGTAAGTTATAATCACTTTAAGTCCAATTCACAAATAGATATGAATGGAATCAAACACGAAAGACCGTTGATTGAAAGTCATATATTTTTAGATCATAGCCGAAATTTCTACAGTTGTCTTTTAACTCTATGCGGAGGCGGAGATGGAGACGGATTCATAATTTTTTATTTAATAAATTTACTTTTTAAAGGTTTTTAATACTCTTTCTGTCCCAATTTATGTGATATATTTCAGATTTTGAGATTTAAATAAATCTATTTTTTACCGTAATTTTTTCATACATCTTTTAATTATTTTGAATTATCAATTATTGAGACTTATGGTACTTTTTATGTAGTTTACAAATATATAAATTTCATTTTAAAAAATTTGAAGATTCCATGAGCAAATTCTTGGTCAAACTTAAACTGTTTGACTATCGAAAAGCGAAATGTGTCACATAAATTGGGACTGAGGAAGTATTATACTATTCAAATTATGAATTTAAATTTAAAGTAAAGAAGTTTTACATCAATGATTAATGAGATGAATAAGTTAAAAAATATGACACTCAATTTATTAGATATATTGATTCATCTCAGTAATTCACACTTTAATAAATCAAAATGACAATTAATATACATACTTTATAACAATTGTATCAAGATTCAGAATATACATGTATTTAATAGTTTAGAAAATATGTTTTTGTTAGTCAATCTAAAATCACTATTTTATCCCATCATGTTTATAATACATAGATATTGCACTAGCATGAGAAGTTGAAAACATACCATTCTTATAATCAAGATAATTAAATTATCTTTATTTCCATCTATATATAGTTATGAGTTATAACTTTTACTAACTTATAATAATAACTACGTAATAATTTAATTTTCTGTATATAAACTTTGAGTTCTGTTACCCTTAAGATTCATTTCTTTACCTGATATTAAAGTATGATACATTATTTACATTGATGATCAATGAATACAATAATAATAACATATTTACTGTAATTCTACGGATAAGATCTCGAGTCTACGTCTTAAGAAAAAGACAGAGAAGTTATTCTTCTACATTGAGCAGAATAAGGCTTGATAGAATTAATGTGAACATTTTAGCCAACACATACTACTTTTATTTGATGCTTCGCTTTCCTAAAATGGACGGTAACTGCAATTTTTGGGGTCACCATGACCTATAAAATATTTATTTTTAAAGAATTTTTAAAAATTAAGGAAATAAAGTAAATGTTAAATGTTTATGTTGTTATAAATTATTTTATTAAAAGTTAAAAGATTTTTTTTGAGTTAAGTTAAATCTAGTTATATAAAAATAATATGATTTAAAAAAAAAGATATAGTAACATACTTAGTGTAATCTCATACGTAGAGAATCAGAGAAGAATAAAATGTAAGCATCTTATCCTCTATTTTATAGATATAAAGAGGTTCTTTTCACAAGTAATGTCTAAAAAGAATGAAATGAAAATTTCTTATACGTAAAGATAAGAATTCTGATAAGAAAAAAATATAAAACTTAAAATAAAATATAAGTGGACTACAAAATAAAAAAGATTTGATCGTTTTAGATAAATTTTTAAAGAAAAAATAACTCTACTTAAGAATTATTTAATATGGAGGATGAGATAATCAAGAATATTCTAATGATTCGGGATATCTCATGAGATTTTTTTATTCCACCTTATAAAATAATTCTAAAATCAACTAATACCTCAAATTAAACATAAAATAAAATAAATTTAAATTTTTTTAATAAAAAATTATTATACTTATCTCACGTATCAAATAAACCTACGACGATTATGAGGAATTAAAAAAGGGAAGAGAAAGTGGGGAGAAATGAGAGATGAGATAATCAATCAACATTCATCTCTTGACGTTTACATTATTACGTTATGGTATCTTTTACTTATTGACACCAAAAATATACTAATTTTATACACTTTTTTGTGTGGAGCCCTTTTACCTTTTTTGTAAACTTATAAATAATTATATCTCTCCAATCTCTAGTACAAAATAAAGATTAATTTTACAATTTCTTGAAATAGAAGAAAAACTTATAAAACAAGAAATATTATATATTTGATGATGATCAAGAAAATGTATAGTGGTTGTAATTCAGCACCAAGATTGGAAAAAAAATATGTGGAGAAGAAAAGAAGGAACAATATGAAGAACCTCTTTAATCAGCTTTATTCTCTCCTCCCACTTCATCCATCTCAGGTTTTTTCTCTAATTTCTATATTATATTGTACTATGAATCATCATATTTTTCGTGACGATTGAGAGGGGTTGCTCAGGTGGTGGTGAATACTTTCAACTTTTAATGTTAAAGTTGTGTATTCAGATCACCAAAAGAGGAAAAAAGTGAGCTCTAACTCTAGCTATATAACATTTTTCTTCTATTCAAACTTCTTGTCTGACTAATATGAAATCACACCGAATAAATCAGTTTTAGCGAATACTACTTATGTAGATATATGTGTGATTTGTGAATTATTACAAGAATATTGTAACTTGATACTCTATCTAAGTTTTGAATTCCCATAACTATAAAAGTACAATGGATATATGTTGAAAATTTATTGTTTGGTTGGATTCATCGAGTTTAAATTTTGAATGAGAGCGTAACATACACAAGATAGGCGATTAATTATGGGGTTTGAAATCATCTTTTTGTAATAGGACTTAATTCTAGTGTTCTATTAAATACCAACTCTTTATTAATTCTTTAGGAAAAATCACTTGTTGTTCTTAAACTTATTACAATACATATATAGTTAGAGGTCAAAGAATACCAAAACTCAAAAGATGAAAATAAATACATGAATAAACATAATAAACTTGCACAATACAATTGAAATGTGCACATTTGATCCCTTTACTTGTGAATATTTATGAATTATGAATTGTTCCGCCACTAATTAAATATATGTTATGTTAAGCCTGTATTGTTACTCTATATTTGATGATAATATAGTCTCAACTAATTGATATATATAACTTATTTCTTACACAAAGGGACCATTAATCACTCAAAAGTTAAATGTGTCATGTATCACGAGGACCAAAATCACAATTTATCGTACGAAAAGTCCTCTTGTGACATACTTATGTGTTTGCATGAAAATTAGTTGCAGGAAGCAATGACATTGCCAGATCAAATAGATGCAGCAATAACTTACATAAAAAGCTTGGAAATCAAATTGGAGAAGAGCAAAATGCAATTGGAAAAATTAAGGACTAAAAAGAGGTCCAATTTACATGATCCAAATCCAAGTATTAGCAAGTTATCTTCACCTCAAATTGAAATCCAAGAAATGAGCCCAACAATGGACTTAATTTTGATCAGTGGTCTTGATAACTTAACTATGTTTTATAACATAATTAGGTTACTCCATGAGGAAGATTTTGAAGTAATTAATTCCAGCTTTTCTCTAGATGGGAACTCTATGATGCATATTTTCCATGAAACTAAGGTCAGTATATGCATGTGTTAATATTCTGTTCATTTCAATTTATATAATACTGTTTGACTTGACACATAGTTAAAGAAACAAAAAAAGACTTTTGAAATTTAATTTGTGGTTAAAACAAACATTAAAGATTTGTGTGACATAGATCATTTTATGAAGGATAAAAGAAAAAACTTAAAGTTCAATTCTTAGTATACGGTTGAAAGTGTATGATATAGTAAACTTATCGTTCTATTAAATGCTTCTTAAGAGGTGTATTAAGTCAAAATGAGCAAGTAAAAATGGTCGCAGGAACTACTTGTTAATTTAAAAAATCAAGAGAGAAGTAGTTATTTTCTTCCAACTTTGACCTTAGAATTAATTATATGCGAATTAAGAGACATATAAATAGACAAAAGACTAATGAATTAATAACGGATATATTAGTCGGATTATACTCCTAATTAATTTTTTCTTAACAGTTGTGCAATATCTTATCATGACAACTAAATGAGAATGGTGGGACTTTTGGGAACTAATTCAAATTCGCGTTGGAAGGGCAAAATGTTTTCTATCAAAGATAATTTCATATTCAAAGCTCGAATCTGAAACTTTTGATTAAGAATAGAGCAGTTATTGGCAAAAGTCAAAATTCTAGTCTTTTTTAAAAAAAAAAATGAACTAGAATTCCAAACCTATTTAGTAATTAAGCAAAATCTCATTTTGACACCTTTTCAATTTGTGTGTAGGTTATTGGGAACTCAACAATGGTGTATAGAAGAGTGAAAGAATTGCTTAATGGATCTTCAACTGATGATATTATTGAAACCCTACTATGTTCATGGGACAATGAGATTCAATCTGAAATGTTAGGGTTAATTAATTTGATGTAACAGAGTTAGTACCAACACAACTCACGACTTATAGCATAGAGTTAAATTTTACAATGTTATATTAATCGTTTGTAGCAAGTTACTCTTCTATTTTCTATAGGTTAATTGTCATATAAGGCTTGCTATAAAGATTTAATCAATCTATCGTCGTAAGTAAACTTAACATGATGGTGTAAAAAATGTATACACAAATAGTGCATAAATCTTAAACTCCACTCTGAACATGTTAGTACGAGTTCAATTGCTTAAAAGACAAATTAAAGATCATTTTGTTTTAAAATTAAAAAAATGATTAATTAAAAATCAACTCATTTTAAGAGAAATTCTTGCAATTTAAATATTTAATGAACTAGAAGAAATGGATATATCTTTTGAAAAATGAACTAGAAGAAAAAGGAACCATATCAAATTTTGAGTTCGAGTCCTTAAAATAGAAAAAACTCTGATAGAGAGCATTTCTGTCACACCCCAAATCCGGATGTGATGGCACGTGTCCATTTCCCACCGGACACGTCAGCCTAACCCAACCACAACGATAGAGAAGTAGAAATACGAGAATAAAAGATAATAAATAAGCGGAAGACTTTAATTAAGACTCAACACTACCCAGAATTTGGTTGTCACATGTACAAACCTCTAAATACAGAATTCGAATAAAAATATACAAGTCTCAGAGTATAGTTCTCGAATAGAACAAAACTGAAAGTAAAGATAACTCAAGGGCACGTCTGGAATGAACCGCTACCTCTCGAATATGTC